TTAGCCACTATGCTACCAGAGCTCCTAACAATAAGCATAGGCATTGTTAAATGGAGACCTAATTTTCTGGCTAAACTTTCACCAAAAAACAAAATAAAATATTGTTTTTTTGAGACAAAAAAAAAAAACAACAACCAAAATCCTATGGAGCAATTCTATTCTGACATATAAGAGGTCACCATGAGTTGAAATTGACCTGATGGTGATTAACAACAACAGCAATGCTTTCACACCAATGCTTTCACATTATGTCACTGACCCTTCCAACGACCTTGTGTAGAGCAATCTACAATGTGCCTGTAAAAGTACTTAGGGTATTATCTTATATGTGTGTAGAAAAATGGTTTGCAGGTAATCCAAGAGAGAGGTAACATGCCTGGAACACCTCCCAGAGCTGTTTAGATTCTATCCCACTGTTTCTCAAGACACTTACAATGAACCTTCCAGTTTTGTTAGAGCAGCCAAACAGCCGAGGAGGGTGGTCTTCAGCCTGGGTTTCTAGCAGTGGTGAGGTCTGGTAGTCTTTCTTCCCTCCAAGGGAACTCCAAAATTCCTCTGTGGAAAACACACTAAGTTAGCCAGTGCATTTTCAGGAGCATATGATGGTATTGCTTTAAATGAACAAATAATATTATCTCACCTTGACTTTAATGTGATTTAAGAAGTTACTTAAGTATTACCAGGTACTGTTACCCAGTTTGCAACTATGGAGGGATTCTTAATCCCCTATAACTATTAAAAGGTACTATTCATTTAAAAAAACAAAGCATGTGATTAGCAATCATACAAAACATAATTTCTACTTAGTTCCTTTAATCCCATGGTACATACCTGGTTCCTCCCCTTCCTGAATCTTTGTGGTTTTGCACTTGAGGACACTTGCCACATACTCTGCTCCTTTCTCCTCCTCCTGGCTAGCACCTCTTCCTATCCAGATATAGCCACTGTTTTGTTGCAATTTCAGGACAAAAACATCATTGGAATTCAATGAATTTGCATCAACATCAACCTAGAATATAAAAAAGAAAACAAAGTGGTTCAAATTCATCACTGCTGACTCAATTAAACATGGTCTAGGAGTTGTGACAGTGACAAACCATTATAGCCTCCTGTTCTGATCCCAGACAATTAATTGGACAGCAATGAAATACCACCATGGTGTTTGAAACATTAGATTTGGAACATTTTGGTCTGTGTTACTTTAGTACCCAACTGCCCAGAGATGGTGGCACGAGGCTCTCAGAAAAAAATTAAGCTAAATTAAGTGGCGAGTTGAAGATTTGGAAAAGTAACAAAGATCATATTCAAAGATGCCATGAGAACAAGGATGGGCTATAATTGATTGGAGAAGAGTATATAATATTTACAAATGACACAGACAAAGCAAAGATAGTTTTTCTGATCATAATAAAGACAAGGTTTATCAAATAATCAAAGGGAATCTAAAAATGATGAAGTATTTTAAAAAAGAGAGACTAGAGTCCAAGGTAGGCAAAGAAATAATAATATAGACTCACTAAGTAAGGTTACCCAGGCTCAGGTAAATTATAGCTCAAACTATAAAAGACATTTATAGTCAAAGAAGAGTTGATGCCTTTGTATTGTGGTGTTGGCGAGGAATGCTGGAAGTACCATGGGGTGCCAGAAGAACAAACAAATCCATCCCAGGAGAAGTGCAGCCAGAATGCTCCATGAAAGTGAGAATGGCCAGACTTCATCTCCCCTACTTCAGTCATGTTGTCAGAGAGAACTATTCCCTGGAGACGGATATCATGCTTGGCAAAGCAGAGGGTCAGCAAAGAAGGGGGAGACCCTCAATGAGATGGAATGACACAGTGGTTGCCATGATGGGTTCTGGCACAGCAAGGATTGTGAGGCTGGCACAGGACCGAGCAGCGTTTTGTTCTGTTGTACCCAAGGTCCCTACAAGTTGGAGCCAATTTGATGGCACCTAACAACAACATTTATAGGGAATTAAAAACACAGCAGTGACATACTCTTTGCCTTCAACCCAGAAGCTCTGAACCCTATCTAAGGGGTAGCAGGGATCATCCATGTAAGTATAGTTCTGGTCTCTGTAGCCATAAAGGAGTTAAAAGGGCCTAGTCGGGTCCTTGTCTGGGCAGGTTACAAGGAGGTGTAGAGTTTCAGGTTGGTAATGAGTGTGAGGGTCCTAGAATGTGGTTTTGTGACTCTGTGAGAACCTCTGTCTGACCAGATGATTGTGTAACAATGTAGGTCCATGTGCATGACTCCCTGTGTGATTATGGAACTGAGTGTGAACGTATGAAACTAGGGAGATGAAGAAGAAACATAAACAACACAGAGAAAGAGCAACTTAGAGGGAAGAGGAAATCAAGTGTGTGTACTGTTCTTGAGGCCAAGTGAGGAAAAATATTTCAAGGACAGAGTGCTCAGTGTACCAAATGATCTATTTGGTTAACAACATTGAACTGCCAGGATGAAGGCATAACAACACTGAGAGTTGGATTTAACCAGGGTTAGAGTTTTTTCAGGATGCTATCCCAGAGAGCTACCTGGCCAACTGACTGGAAGAGACACATATTTGTGCTCATTCCAAAGAAAGGTGATCCCACAGAATGTGGAAATTATAGAACAATATCATTAATATCGCATGCAAGTAAGATCTTACTGAAGATAATTCAGAAACGTTTGCAGCAGTATATTGACAGAGAACTTCCAGAGGTTCAAGCCGGATTCAGAAGAGGACATGGAACAAGGGATATCATAGCTGTTGTCAGATGGATCTTGGCTCAAGGCAAAGAATACCAGAAAGATGTTTACTTGTGTTTTATTGACTATGCAAAGGCATTTGATTGTGTGGATCATGACAAATTATGGATAACATTGAGAAGAATGGGAATCCCCGAGCACTTGATTGTACTCAGGAGGAATCTGTACCTTGACCAGGAGGCTGTCGTTCGAACAGAACAAGGGGACACTACATGGTTTAAAATCAAGAAGGGAGTGTGTCAGGGTTGTATTCTTTCTCCACACTTATTCAATCTATATGCTGAGCAAATAATCCGAGAAGCTGGACTATATGAAGAAAAACGTGGTATCAGGATTGGAGGAAGAATCATTAACAACCTGAGATATGCAGACGATACAACTTTGCTTGCTGAAAGTGAGGATGACTTAAGGCACCTACTGATGAAGGTTGAAGAATACAGTCTGCAGTATGGATTACATCTCAATATAAAGAAAACAAAAATCCTCACAACTGGACCAATAAGCAGCATCACAATAAATGGAGAGAAGATTGAGGTTGTCAAAGAATTTACGTTGCTTGGTTCTACAAGCGATGCCAACGGAAGCAGCAGTCAGGACATTAGAAGACGTGTAGCATTGGGAAAGTCAACTGCGAAGGAACTGTTTCAAGTGCTGGGGAGCAAAGACCTCCTTGAGGACTAAGGTGTGCCTGACACAAGCCATGATATTTCCAATCGCCTCGTATGCATGTGAGAGCTGGACAATGAATAAGAAAGACCGAAAAAGAGTTGATGCTTTTGAGTTGTGGTGCTGGTGGAGAATGCTGAAAGTACCATGGACTGCTAAAAGAACTAACAGATCTGTCCTGGAGGAAGTGCAGCCAGAATGCTCCTTGGAATCAAAAATGGCCAGACTTTGTCTCACCTATTTTGGTCATGTTGTAAGAAGGGACCATTCCCTGGAGAAGGATGTCATGCTTGGTAGAGTGGAGGGTCAACGAAAGAGGGGGAGGCCTTCAACGAGATGGATTGACATGGTGGCTGCGATGATGGGCTCAAGTATAGCAGGGATTGTGGGGCTGGCGCGGGATCGGGCAGTGTTTCGTTCTGCTGTGCATGGGGTCGCTATGAGTCGGAAACGACTTGACGGCACTTAACAACAACAACAACAATCCCAGAGAGAATAAGAAGGAATGGCTGTCAGAAGTATTAAAGACATGCCCCACGGGTTGGCAACCCTCACACAAGTGGCTATAGTCCTCTCTCAGGAGGAATGAGGCCTAATAGACCAAGCTCAAAGGAATTTACACAGTTGTGTTGATGCAGAATTATAGGAACCAAGTCTGGTTTCAGGACTTCTGATTTCTAAACCAAAAGGCAGCTTACTGACACAGAGAGATAGGTGACAAGAGGTGCATGCCCAGACTGGTGTGAGATCAGGGAGGTTGTTCTATGCCATAGCACTTAGAAAGTTTTAGCCTTCCAGGAGATGAAAACAAAAAGACTTATACACATTGATTTTGCATAGTGTCTTTCAGAGCGGCTGGTAGTGAGAAATTTGGTTTGAGAAGCTACAAGGAAAAAAGGAGATGCATTGCAAGTAGATAAATGGACAACAGTAAAGTTATTTCACTGAAACAGGAAAGAAGGCAAAATTTATATGTATAGAGACTGACAAGCTGATAAAATTAGAAGGGAGAAGATGAGGTAATTCTTGTCTATGTATTTATGTTCCTGTGATCTCGGAAACAAAATTATTAGAAAAAAGCAGATAGTGTTGGAGACTTGGAAGAAAGCAGGACATGAAAGGTGTGATGGATGAGGGGGATTCATGGATTAAGGTATGGGATTTAAGAATTGCTGAAATGTGCATACTGGAAGAAAGGAACCAGAAGATAGGAGGTAGTTGTCAGAGATTAGACATTTGAGACAGAAATTTCTGAAATAGAGTAGGCATGTAAAGGTGAGTTGAAGTAGGTCAAAGAAAGATTGTTCTTCAAGAACAAGTAGGAAACACATTGGTGTAGCGGCGGGGATCTTAAAAGCTTTCAAGCGACCATCTAAGATGCAGCTAATGGTCTCCTATCCTCAGAAGCAAAGAAGAGTGCAAAAACAAGGGAATTTGGAAGCAATCAGCCCTAGGATATGATGGCCCTCCAGACCAGAAGAACTAGATGGTGCCTGGCTACTAATGCCAACCACTCAGGAAAGGATCAAATTTGGAGATCCTGGATAGAGTGGGAGGGAAAACATGCAACAAAATCCAAAAACTCAATAATGACCAGAATTACTGGTCAGATGGAGTCTGGTAAGACCCCTAATACTATGGTCCTGGGATACATTCTGAGCCTGGAATAAAACTCACTCCTAGGGGCTGGCTCTCAGCCCAATAGAAAACAAGATGTACACACAGCCAATCAACCCAGTGTGATGCACCCACATACTCTATGGAAATGCATCCCTTAGAGCAATTGGCCATGGGGCACCAAAGGGGCAACATACACACGGAGGAAATGCAGGACAAATAGGAGTGCATAACTATGAGGGGCATGGTGGGGGAGGGTTACTGGGCAGGGAAGGGAAGAGACTGGGTTAGGGTTAGGCATGGTAAATGGGAGTGAAACTAAACGTACACGTAATGTTGAATGTAAAACAAACTCTTAATTTTTTTTTTTTTTTAAAAAAGAACAAGTAGAAAACAAGTCAAGAAACAGACAAATCGGAGTGATGGAGATAGTGAGGTATTGGCTGAAGCCAACAAAGAATGAGAACCAAGGGACTGGCAGCTCAGGAGATGACAGAATGAGAAGGCTGCAGGAGGGAAAAGCGAGCCGATAAAGAGAGAGGTCAGAGACAAAGGAGAGCAAGAGTGCTACTTGACAGCCGTCCCAGAAGCCCTGCGGTAAGGTAGCACTGGGAAGAAAAGACGGCTCCTATTGACAGGACTGTGTGGGAACATGTGTCATAGACAGCTATAGAAGAAGAAGGCAAACAGCATGGAGTCTTAGAGAAGAGACCGAGGGTGTGGGGAAGCTATGACCCACCTAGTTTTAAGGACTTAGCTGACATGCTTGGGCAAATGAAAGAGTTAGAAAATGCCCTCAGACTTGGGGATATGCAGAGTAAGCACAACAGTTTCAGGGTGATTTAGGAGACATGGATTTTGATGGTGACTGAGGTGACTGGTATTTGAGGGATGAAGGAATTGTCCTGGAGGTCAAGACACTCAGCTATTTAGGCTGAATGTAAGAAACCTGGTTTGAGAGGCTAAAAGGAAATAAGAAGATCTTCTTGTCTTAGGCACCATGATACAGGGTTTGATTTCTTTCTCAGCTGCTGTCAGAGACAGCTTGTTTGGCCAGTTGAGTTATGGTCCTGGTCTAATGTGTCAAAGCCTGTTTCCCACATTTGTTACACTTGGCAAACAAGGGCTTTCCCTCTCAGATTTCCCCAGTGTGGTCACCTGACTATCACCTACCATCCATCTTGCCCCAGGCCTTTCAAGATAAAGATTAAGCTGTCTCATGCATTTGACAGCTTGATTTGTTGTATTTTCCTTAAAATGTATTTGTTTCCGTACAATGTAGTTGAAAAATGTGAGAGGGCTTGTATCTGGAGTTTAACTTTCCACTCAACTCTCTTGATTTTGGTAATTTTCAGTCTGGATACTGGATTAACTATAGAAAGGAAGGGAATTCAGTTGTCAATTTTTTAAAGACTAATATTTGTTGACAGGCCAGGTCTACTAGGAAGTCTATAACCAGGGCACATTTTATTGAATGCATGACATTACCTCCACAATTCTGGTGATAGATGCCAGGTTTCTCCGGACTTGAAAGAGGCGGATAGGGGGAGCAGGTGCTTGACCTCCTTTCTTTGATGTTCCATTCTTGTAAATAATGAGTGGTTTGTCTCTGAACAAACTCAGCAGGTGAGTAGGCTCCTTGCCTTGAGAGACCCGGATCTGGGGGCAGGTGATAAGAGAAATTTAATAAAGGGTGCAGTGAAAGAAGTTACTATTTCTAAATGGGTTTTTATTTTTCTTTTTGAAAACAAAACAAAAGATAACTAACAAGACAAGAGCAGGGGAAATGATGACTAATACAAAATATAGGCTAATATTAATCAAGTACAGTTTCCTATCTGACCTAAGGATCCTGGGTTTGTCACTAAAGCACAGCATCTTTAAATAGTTTCTCATCAGTGGGAACACCACTCTACTGCAACAATTTCTGCCTCTAGAAAGCATGAGAATGTAAGTTGGTTCATCTACTCTTTCAAAAGAGAAAAGAACAACAAAGTGCTATTTGCCATCTAATAGGAAAATTACTTAATTTTCACAAAGAATACCAACATTTTAGGAGCTCTGGTAACATAGTGCCTAAGGCACTTGACTGCTAACCAGAAGGCTGGTGGTTCAATCCC